AAATTGCAATAACGACCAATATCTAATACCTTCAACTACTTTCGACTTTAATCGACTTAGAATAAAGTCGAAAATGTATTGCTTAGAATTAACTGCAGCCACGTATTAACTTCTAAAGTTTATAGACTTTCGGCCGCGTCAATTTGTGTATTGTCATATTTGACATAATAGCTATCCCATCCTCACGGATTTATTGGTTGAAATCCGACGACAGTTGCTTCAGCTTTTGACAAATGCACTTCTCTATCTCCCTTACACATTATTTAAAATAGTTATGTGTAAACAGGATGGCGCATGAAATGCCTACTTAGCGAAATATGTTTGTTATAGAGTGAATTTAATGAAGTATAATAGGGTGACGGTCTATTATGTCCATGTCATCGTCAGCTACGTGACAATATTCCTCAATGTGACTTATTGTCGTTGGTTTGAGCACCCCAAAATATCATGTAACCGATTTTATGAGTCACTTTTTATTTATACTTTGTTACCTATGCCATAAAAAAACGGAGCGGTATGCAGTTATTAGACGCATCAATTAAAGTACCACTGACAATAAAAGTTGGTAATTGGCGGGAAAGCAATTTTTTTATACACAATTTATTTTTAAATTTGGAATCGTGCAGATAATGCGTCTGCAGACTTCTAAATAGAGGTTTAAATTCAGTCTGTGAAAGTATAAAGACCTTAAATTTCCGTCCTCCTTACTACATATAGTCGCCTGTGGTATTTCCGGACTGATACGACCTTCAAATCTTTAAGAAAAGAATGCACTCCCACCACAAAGACCGGCAACGCACTTATGATTCTTCTGTTGCAGGTGTTCGTGGCGTGGCGGTAGTCCCTTAGGGCCCCTTAATTACGTAAGGATGATTTTGTCAATTTTTGACCTCCTCTACCCCTATGTAAGGATATATGAGATTTCTCAAACCCCCTCCCCCTTCCCCCCTACTCCCTTCTTGCGTAAGATTCAATCTCGTTTTTCTGAATAATAAAACGTTGTTAGAAAAGGATCAGTTACACTAAAACTCAGTTTGACGTAAATCAAAGATTTTTTATTTTTTATCAGATTATTTAGGTTATACTTTATCATTGCTATCAGATATAGATTATCTTTATATTATTAGATAACTATCTAGTCTTATGAATGTTATTCTTATAATTAAAAGTAAGTCTTTAAATAATCTTAAAGTGCAGAAACAATCTTTAAACGAAAAAAGTTTTAAAATAATGGTTGACTAGTTTTAAATTACTCTTTTACAGTAAAAGCTAATACGCGAGAAGAATTCACTAAAATATAATTATTATTTATGACAAAATGGATGAAAATGAACATTATTAAGAGTTTAAAATTTTAATAAACAATAAAAATTTGTAAATCGAAGTGCACATTATGGAATGAAGAAAATCATGCAGCATTCAAAATTGTTTCTAAATAATACATTTCGACTAGTAAAATATTACGTAAGAAATGTAAGAATAGGTTTTACCCCATCCCCCCAAGATAATATAGGTATAGATTTTTTTAACATGGAGATTAATGAATGGCCACTTACATAAAAAAATCTTTAGGATGTTTTCAACATCGATAACTTGCATACGCTTAGAAATCGTTCAAACAAGTAAATATTACTAAGATATTTTTCTTATCACTCGATATTCAAACTACCTACATAAAGTATACGGTGCATTTTTATCTTAATAGACAGTTATCATTATAAAGCAACCAAACTCACAGTTATTTTAAACCTATATAATATAATAATATTTGTTACATTTAAATAACATCAAAACAATGTTGTGGTATAGTTAATAACGCTATTATATTTATCTGTTAGCTAAAAAAAGAGTGTTCATTAGTTTGTTTGCCCTTTCTTCTCATAAGGCTCAACCCCTTTGAAAACGGGCGGTTGTAGAACGTCACGGCATTATTATATTTATTTTTCTAAATATTTAAACAAACAGAGATTGTTGTTGTGTGTGTTGATCTATGACTTTAAAGTCAACATAATATGAGAAGATTTCAAAGTGTTATTTTTTTTAAGATAAAGATTAGCCGTTAATAGGCCGAACGATTCCTCGGAGCACTCTCCATAATATATGGATAGAGAATGCAGAGTGAAGCTACATCTCTACGTGACTCCAAGGAATCGAGCCGGTTGGAGACCTTTTGGCCATCAACGATTCAAGTAGCTCTTCGTTGTCTAGAGGGACAAGCTGGTACTGGGGTGCCCTGCATAGATATTACAACAGTATTCCATATGAGGCCGGATTTGCGCCTTATAGAGTTGAAATACTGCCTCTGTTCAGCCCAGCGAGCTGCTTGGAGGCTAATTTGACCTAACCCTTTAAGTGACCCCTAAGCTAAACTTAACTGCGCCTGATATGTCGATGCCTAGGATGCCGATATTGACAGACGCAGTTAAGGAGTATCTTTTTTTTGCAGTGAATACGTGTCTTTTTTGGGTTAAAATGGACTATATTCAGTCGATCCCAATCTGAAACCTCAGCTAAGGGAGTTTCAATTTCAGGCACAAGTTTGTTTCGACTCTCGACGACGTTTTACCTAGAAATAAAAGGCATCTCCCATTACTACCATCTATATAGCAATGGATGCTACTAGTTTGCAACATGTCATTGATATGCAGAAAAGCAGATAGCACACAGCCTTGCGGGACACCAGCTTTTTCAGATATCAAGTCGACAACGAATTAATGCTTCTGCTCAGTTTCATAATTTCTCAGGAAGCCCATACGAAGAGAGCTTCGAGAGAAGCCCCTTATGCCAGATCCGATCGAAAGCTTTCGCTATCTCTAAGCACTCACACTAGGCGTTCTGATCAGATTTCGAAGCTTATTTACATATATATTTTACACCGATTTCGATGGGTTCATAACAATATATCCAGCTTTCATCACTTGTGACGATGCCATATACAGCATTTGAGTCGCCTCCGTTATGCTTTTAAAACACTGAGCGACACCAATCCAAACGACGGCGTTTTTTGATCTTCTGTCAAATTATAAGGTATCAAGTAAGACTTTTTGTACTTAACTCATACCCATGCCCTAAAGCGTTCCGGGCCTACTGATATGTCACCCATTTATCAGCTTCTATCATGAGCCGCACAGCACTCACGATATCTTCAGTAGTCGCCAAGAAAGGACGTCCTTCTTGAGAATCATCATTGAGTTTGCTTCGACCACGTTTAAACTCATTAATCCAGTTGTAAACCAGTGTTCACACCTACTCGATCGTCACGTTGGCCGCGTTCGGCGCTGCGATTGGCCCGCACTGAAATTTGCACCAATCACAACGTTAAACGCGCGTCGCTATCGAGAGCGAGTTGTTGTGATATATACTCGCACTTGGGCCTCAATTGTACGAGATGAAATACAGATAAGTAAGGATGTTTTGGCCTACTATACTACGCTGGCCAGACAGGCCGAGTTTGTATCAAGTTTTTCTTCTCTTTGCACTGATATTGTCCTACGTAGCTTGCTCCCTTAGTAGGCTCCTACGACATCCCCCGAAATGAATAGGACGCGCCATATTCTTAATCCATCACCACACGGAAATACTATACCATTATTGAGGGATTTTTTTTTCTATTCAAAGCTATTTTGATGCACGACAGGCAGTTTTTAAATAGCCGCCAATTTGTTAAAACAAATGACATGAAAGCATTAAACATTTAAAGATTTCCAAAGAGCCCTAATTCGAAATTTAAATAAATTTTTCAACGGCTGCTTCCCTTGCTCTATTTTAAAAACTTTTAGTGTGACCCACGTAACATAATTTTAAATGCAAACAAATATTTTAGGTGAATTACACCCATACACAGAAATAACATCGTGCTCATCAAACAATATTGCTCATGGGTGGGAATCGAACCCACGGCCTCTGGCTCTGGACTGCTGTCGGTTCATTCAAGAAAAGTGTTTAGCTGTCATTTTCTGCAAGGTCACCAACGTATGAAGTAGGCAAGAGCCGGAAGGCCTTGGCTACTTCATACATTGCCCTACACAGCTTCGGTAGAGTATTAGTCGAAAACAGTAATAATCGAACTCCAAAGGGCGAAGAAAGCACCATTGACCATACAATGTTAAAAGTTACCAAATCATAGGCTCTACATGGAGTTTAATTAAACTCATTTTTTATTATGTCTAAGTTCAGGTGCCTTGATGTCTACCTACCCATCATATTTTTAAATAGTTACTGATACAGCTAGAGACATCTGTCGCTAAGACGTAGTATTACTTGGAGAAAAGTTTGAAATGGAATTGGCACACATTAAAACTTATTGCATTGTATTTGAGATAGTTATATTCTTTGTTAACTATGTAACAGTCATAAATACAACCATTTTCTTCTGTTAATTTATTACTTTTGCAGTATTTAGTATTTATCTACATATTCCATATGCACAAAAATCTACCTAGGAAAATCATTTTTGTGCCAGAGTGATATAGAAAAGTGATGGTTAATGATATCTTATAAATAATTAAGTAAATTAAATTGAAACAAAAGTAACTAACTTTTCTAACTTTTTCCTTGATGCAATCAAATCAATATTTCGCGGTCTAACATGAGTTACGTTATTCATGAATAGATGGCGTTACTCCAAGCTCTTGGCGAGTGAAATGAGACCACACAAATGTAGCGTTGGACGGCAACCTGCAGTTTTAATGAATTTTAACCCCCCTGAAATAAGGTTCACTATTCCTTATTTTCTTGAAATCCAACATTCCATGTCGATTTGTAGGACACGGTGTAATAGTTTGCAAGTTTTACGTTTGTGGGTGTGAGTGTGTGTAGCAGTGCGGCAGCAAGTAGCTGTCAAAAACGACTGGAAGGAAATCGTGTGCAATAATTTTTTGTTAAAATGAATATCTTTACGTTATTAAATTAAACTTGAGTTATGTATGTCCATACTTACTCGTATGAAATAATATTATATTGTTATTCAACGAGCAGTACTTACGTTAACTTTAGACACCATGGTTCAGTGTCATCCACCGTTGGAGCTAGAGGAATTACCAAAAGAAGACGAAGAAAGATTAGAAACACTTTTTTCTAAATTAGACACCGATGGAAATGGGAAGATTGACATCCATGACCTGTCCGTGGCGCTCAAGGAGTTGGCTCCGCACATTAACCGGAGTTACGCAGAGGTTAGAATGTAGACATTTCCTAATTGTGGCCCAACTAACGGTTTCACCTTTCGATGATACGCTCATTTACTTGTCGACACGTAAACCGCAACTCACTATACATTCCATGTTTAATTTTTATAGCTTACTTTTTTTAATGCTATGTATCGATTTCCCTGCTGCCTATTGGTACTTTAAAAGAAACTTTAAAAAAAAATTACCGTCTTATATATTTAGAAAATTGATTTCAAAAATAGAAAATTACCTTCTTTTTTATTTTTAGTAGATGCTTCATTTAACATGATCTGCCTCATTTGAAATGTGCACTAAGGCTGTTATAGTATTCTAATATACTTAATTAGACTATTGGAACTATGCCTTTAATTTAGTAGGTTTTCACTATTATTACAATATATTAAAATAAGTGTAAAGAGTAGACCAAATGTATGTATAATAAATGTCTAAAAATGATATATTGCCAAAAGTTCTAATAGATAAATCACTGATATTGTATCTCAAGATTTTTTTTTAAAGTTGATAACATTCCGTTTAACTTGGTCAAGTTATGCAAAAAAAATACTGCATTAGCTACAGAAACTTTCTAGGAAATGGTTAAAATTAAGGAAAAAGCATGTACAGCAACTGAAATAAAATGCATGAAACTAGATACACATAATCAAAATCTATATTGTTAACGACCCAACTGAACCACGCCACTGGGGTGTTGGTTAAAATTTTTTTTTGTTAAATACACCACTGCTGACTAGTGATATATAACGTGAAATAATAAAAAAAACGTTTTGGTAATTTTAAATGATAATGTTGTATCCACTTTATCCATTTGTATCCATTTTAACAAAAAAGAAATTAATTAATTTATAAAACTTGATCTGAAAATTATGCAATAACTATTCATTTTTTATTCACCATATCTTTGCTTACTTCTGGAAAAAGCTTTTTAAAATGGATATGGTTGTGATCTTATGAATGCAAAATAATTTATATCAAAAAATGAATAAGTTTTACGTTAAAAATCCATTACCATGATGTTGTTGACAAAAAAAAAAATATACATACAAATACACATATCATCTACTTATTGTATAGAAGGCAATAACAATAGAACACTTTGAAGAACATTTAGATCACACTTGCTTTGCTGGTCAAATATGTGGACATTGTAATCAATATATATCTCTTGGGTATTACCTGCTCAGCTCACCCAACTACCAGACCCTCATAGATTCCGTTAGTCATTCACTTTTCTCTCATTTTTTCAACATACCCAAACCATCGTAACATCTCCTCCTCAATGCTTGTCACTAAATCTTTTTTCAAATAGCAACATTTTCTTACCCCATTATTCCTCACGCTAACACACACTTATGAAATACAATTTCTTAAATTACACATAACTTTTTAACATTTTTTTTTGTATTTTTGTACCGTAATTATGAACCAGATTGTATTATTTTTTTACTAAACTTAAGGAAAAGACGCAAGCCAAAGGTTACAAAAAATCCAATTAGAACTTCAATGTCATCGTGTCTCAACCTTGCGTAGGAATCTGTTTACATTCCCAGTTGAATGAATTAATTAAATCGCCAGTAAGGATTCTATTGCCAATTGATCCCAGTACGAACTTTGAAAAGGAATCCTATGAAATGATGGGATTGAACAGATCATTACTATAAAATGATATGAATCCTCTGAAATACTTAATATTAAAAGAGGCTTATAATGTCTCTGTAATTGACTTTATAAGCCGTACTTTCAGTACAGAATTAATTAATCACTCTCCGTACCCGTATGGTGACCCATTTACTTGTTTGCCATCAATACCATAAAAAAAGATACTCCCATCACTTTGAAGACAAGTCGTTGGATGATCTCAGTGTTCATTTTAACTTTTATTAAACTTCAGTTGATTTGGTTTAACTTAGTAACTTTGAGAACTTAGTAACTACAGATGCGATATATTTTATTCAGGTATCATAAGGAAGTGTGTTTAAAACATATTCTGCTTATTCATGTTATACTCCATCCAATACTTCATTTCCTTTAGGACAAATCAATAAATAGTCCAAAAACCTTATCAATAATAACCATTTTATTTTAGAAGAAGTTTGAATCTCAAATAAAGTAAAAACTAAACTTTTGCTACAAATACTTAACTGGTTTAAAAATTATACTACCCACCTTTAATCTACACAAAAATTAATTAATAATATTAGAAATCACTCAAGTCACAAATACTAGTAAAGTGTAAATAATTTTGAACTTGCTCATTACTTTCAACAGGAGTTCTAAAAATTTAGTTTTTTGAAACAATTTATAAATAGAAATCTAAAGATCCTGATTTAAAAACAATTAATATTGATATTTTTTTAATCTGTATAATCATTCAAATGAATGATTAACATATACTATATTTTATTGCATAATATGACGAAAATCCTTAATACTACATGTACAGTATCATATGTCTAACTGGTTAAATGTAACCAGTTTGACATATGATGATTATAAATACCTCACTTTAATGTATCAGTATTCATTAAAGTCAATCCAAATACAATGATATATTTTTCCAACATTCTATTTTTAAATTTTAACTTCGTAGTCGGGCAACATTAAGTTCTCACAAAATAAATGAACGTACAGAATATGATCTCATCTCTTTGATTCTAAACTTCATTTAAATTAACAATTTTTTGTTATTAAATGCTACGTTTTATCTTTACATAGTATAAAATGCGGTGGCTTTTTTTTGTTGCACGCTTAGATCTTTTAAAGTAAGCAACGGATTTTAACGATTTTCATCAATAGAGAGAGTGATTCAAGAAGATGGTTAATATAGTATAGAATATTATTTACTTCATTAAGCACAGCATAAAACAAAGTTACATCAAGTAAGTTTTGATAAAGGCAACAATTTTCCTTATGTAAATTTTCATATCTGACAGAATTGACATGACACGTCAATGTGCCACGTATCCAACCACGTATTATAATTAATATTTTAGAAGAAGATATTAGAGTTTAAAATGCGGGGGCAAAACGGCCGTCGCCGCTTCGGGCCATACGTTCGTCGCGGGTGGCAGCGGCCGGCAGATTCGGAGGCAGGCCTATAAATATTCTATAATTAATTACTGCACACTGACACCATATTAGTAGTATCTACATTGCACCCGTGCGAAGCCCGGGCGGAGCGCTAGTAAGTAAGTATATGAACTACGCTCAGTATGCCGAACTACTAAGCGTCTGCCTCAAGCTTTTCGGTATTATCGAACTGAATGAAATCGGACAGAACTAGCCTCCAGACTCTCCCATTCAAGATGTCGATGGAAAAGATGAATCGTAATTGCGCAATTATTGAATAATTTTAAGGAACGTACTTATACTCTGTGACCCATTTTTGACCGCCCGTAGAATATGCCAAATACCTACCTTTTCACGTAGTAGTCCATACGTGATGTAGAACATTAATTGGCAAAGCATATTAATTAGTTTAATTGAAGTTCCTGTGACAGTCTACTGGGGCCCGGGTACATTGAAGACTTGTAGTGTTACGATAGGTTAGTGGCGAGCCATTAATTACATACATACTACTCACGAAAAGGTAGAGAAGGGGGTTTTAAACGCCCCAATTTTGTCGACTATAATTTTAGTCCCAATCGCGTAATGGGGACAAGACTTAGTAAATTAGACAAAAAAAAGTATAATAAAATGATAGGTAGATAATAATAATAATAACATCACACAGGGAAGTCTGGTCCCAAACTGGGCAGTGTCTGCATTATGGTAACCAATCTGCCGATAAACATAGTTATAAATTTCTATAAACATACATATTATAGATAAATTACACCCAGACACAGAACATTGACCGTGCTCATCACACAATATCCCTGGGTGGGAATCGAACCCACGACCTCCGGCTTAGCAGTCAGGTTCACTAACCACTAAAACTTGACTGGACCAAAAAGTCCGTCCGTCCTAATTAAAAAGGGATGAGATGAAATTATTTGAAGAACATAAGCAATAGAGTTATCGTGGAGAGCCGTGTTTTCATCACAAAATGGCCGGCACGACCGGAGTGATACTACGGCTTCACAGAAAACCAGCAAATCCCTCGTTACTTTTTACCTAGTGAGTGAGGTTATCGGAGACCTCCCCTCTTACATCTGATTCTCTACTTCTACTTGAAAAGACAACTCCCGCATTAGGATCGCCCTATCTATCATCAATGAGGATCGAACCCACAACACTCAGCGTAGTAGTGGGCGACGTGGGCGACCTCTTAAAACCATTACGCCAGCGTGCAGTCAAAGGGCGGACAACGCACTTGGGACGCTTGATTTTCCATGGTGCCCATGGGCGGCGGTGGTCACTACCATCAGGTGACTTGTCTGCAGGGTTCATATACCATAAAGAATAGTTCGAGCAGGTCGGGTTCGCATACTAGTAACTTGAACTGGTTGCTACCAGATAGTTTTTTGTCTCGAGTCTCTAAGTCTCGAGTCTCTAAGTCTCGAGTCTCTAAGTTTGCTCAAATTGTGACTGTACTCTGATTTTTTGCCACGTCCACCCTCATTGCGGATATATATCATACTTGCTATTGTAAGCGACTTCGCTTATTTCTTACTAGCTGACCCGCGCAACTTCGTCTGCGTCTCTCAATAGTAATAAATTTTCTCCGTTTTTTGAAACAATATTCATTGGTGCTCTGCTCCTATTGCTCTTAGCGTGATGATATATAGCCTATAGCCTTCCTCGATAAATGGGCTATCTAACACTGAAAGAATTTTTCAAATCGGACCAGTAGTTCCTGAGATTAGCGCGTTCAAACAAACAAACAAACAAACTCTTCAGCTTTATAATATTAGTATAGATTTCGTATCTCTAACTTTGGAAATGATGAGCTTCCATTCAACCGTTCATTCCTTATTTTAAGCCTCTCCGAGGTGAAATTTACAAAAAAATCTTTTCGTAGTGAGTGCTTACAAATCTGCCAAAATTTCAAGTTTGTTCAACAGGAAGTATTTTAAATAAATGTAATTGTCATACATATTAAACGCCAATGTATATTTTTTTCTATATTTATTGATTCTGATCTCTTACGGTGATACACCTAACTGGTCATACATATCACATCAACAGCCTTTAATAGTCCACTACTGGACATAGGCCTCTCCTTAGAAAGGAGGTTTTGGCCTACTATATCCACGCTGGCCAGACGGGTTGGTATAGGGTTTGTTGTCAAGTTTTCCTTCTTTTTGCAGTGCTGGTGTCCTGCGTTATTTTGCGGCCCTTAGTCGGCTCATACGACACCCACGGGATGAATTGGGGTAGTGACATTCCGTATTCTTAATCCGTCACTACACGGACAGTGGTCATATGTATATAGATTTATTTATTTTAAACCTGGTGCTTTTACTTGTACTTCTTCATGTGAAATATCATCATTCAGTCTTAATAATCGTAATCGAACTAAATAGTTTAAAAATATAGGAAAGTGTTCCTCCATCCAAAATCAATAAATGAAATCAAAAACGACTTGAACGGTCTATGAACTCTCCGGTCGAGACGAAGTTCCGCAAGAAGTGTCGGAAAAAAGTCTTGTTACACATTTTTTCGGTCCCGCTCGCATCCGCTTATAGCGTGTAACGCGCGTTAAACAACTTTGTTAAAATTAAATAAATACAATCAAATAATAAAAACAACAGAGCCAAATAAATAAGATAAAAAAAACATAAACCAATAAAATAAACATTTAGTTTTATACTAGCAAACTGGCAAGAGTACAAGTGTTTCTGTCCGATCGTCCATCGTTTGGCATTCGACTTGCCACCCTCTTCATAAGTGTCTACCCTCCCCCTTCAAAGTTGCCCCCATTTACAGTAAAGATCACTTTCGTTGCCTTTGTGCTCTTTTACTAAACATCTATAGATCTTGTTATGCACAATAACCTTATTACGAGATAACTCACGTAATTATATAATAATGATTATTTTCTAGTATATACTACACGGCACGTTTAGACCTACAGTAATCATAGCACTAGGTATTTATTTTAGTTCACGGGGCTAAACACACTTTCATACATTTTGATCAGACTTCAAAATAGTAAAGATGTCCTCAGTTGGTTTGTATTTTTTTTTATATTTATCACCGCGGAGCTCCGTGGTTTATGAATTTATGTGTTGGCTTACGACCAACGTTTTTGTTTGTAGGTAAAATTGAACAAAATTCCTTTAAATGTACTACTGCTGTAAATAAGTGACCGTTTGCTTACAATTGCATCTTTGCACTTTTACACACACACACTTTAAATTGTAGAAGACCTGTGTAAACCATTATGATCATACTAAGCAAAACAAAATAATGCTGTATTCGTCGTTTTTGTCGTTTTTGATAATTCGGCACTTTGGTCGACGACCACCGGTATTATCTTTATGTTTTGTATAGATATAGCTAAATAAACAACATAATTACAAGAACCTAAAGACTGCTATAATTTAATACAGGAAATTTTCTGTACACATAAAATAATAATAAAACTTTCCCTTGAACCCGGGGCCCCCCGCCGTACTTTTTTTTAAAATAATCAATAAACCAGTACCACTAAGTCGTCTCGCATATTGACCAATGTGTTCTCGGTACTGGGGGTATGTTTTTTTGTGTTGTAAATTATTATTTAAAACTATTTTCCTTTCGTGTTGCTTCTAGAAATGCTATTATCTTGACTTAAATGTCAATTAAAAGTTAACTTTAATTTGTAAATAAACGACCAATAGAAACGCATTATTGGGCGGTCACACGCACTCATGCAGTCGTCAAACTTTAGCCAGTTTTTTTAATAAACGAGTTTCTAATTATAGACTTCAACCTTCGACTCCACCTTATTCTTAAGGAGATCCTTCCCGATACAAATACATATGTATTAAGGGTGGCGGAAAAAAATGACACTAAAATACATTCGCACTCATCAATATTCTAGATAAGTATTCAAGTAAAAGCGACTCATCTATAGAAATTATTTTGGAACAGTCTTACATATTTATTGCCAAGGATAGTGATGATGTACTAGTAACAATGCAGTTGCGGCATTTTGAATATAAATGCACTTTTTTGTACGTCTATTCTTAACTCGTAATATAACAATTCGGTGGCTTTTTTTTTGTGTTTGACAAAATAATCCATACTTCCATGAGTTTTTACGCTTTCATGATTAACCACTAAACCCATTTTAAAAAATTTTTTCACAACTTTTCACTTTACACCGCGATAACCAACAAAAGGGCCCAAAAGGGAGTCGTAGTATAATTATAATATGTGTATGTATAAAGCACAAATTCATATTTTAGTAATAAAAAAGTACGTACGGTAACGGGACGAAAGTAAGACCCGACGTCCATAGCCGCTTTGACCCCGCTTTTTAAAAACTCTGAATATCTAAAATATTCATTCTGATGATATGTTGCTAAGAGCAAATTTTGATCTACATTAAATGCAAAACGTATCTAACGTATTTAATTGGATATGGAATATTACTGTATTGTTAAAAATAGCTTCGTAAATAAGCTATTATTTTTTTGTAATAAGAAAGAAGAAAAAATGGTTATTGTGGGTATCCATAGTAGATAGACAAAAAACCATCCAGGACTTTTTGTTGGTCATTTTGAGATATACAATTCCGTAGTAAATTATTTTGATATACTTTGTAATGTTCAGCCACAGTTGTAATGTACGTGCTCAAAAATGTTTTTTACGACTCCACGATGTAATTTCTGCGTAATGCTCAACTACAACTAGTTGAGTCAGCCTAAAAAATACTGGTTTGATTTTATTAAATCCTTATCCTCGTCTGTTCTTATCGGTTTTAATTTTTTATTTGTCTACGGATATGTTCGGAACAAATTCTGTACATAATACAAGCTTTGTATTATAATACTAGCACGTATGCGGTTCATGTATAAATAAGTATAAGTATAATTAATATGGAATAAAGCTGGTAATGTAGCTTTGGCAGGCCTGGGGGTGGACAGGTGAGTCCATCTGTCACCCTAGCAGAAGCCGGCCAGGGGGTGGCGGCGAAACGACGATGCCGGAGCGCGCGTTGGCATTTAAGCCAAAGGGAACATGGGGGTTCCCCACACAGGAGGGGGTCACCTACGTAGGTGGCCCGAGGTTACGTTCGGGGTACCAGGGATTTCCTTTGATAGGGTAACATGGTTCCCCGGCTACTGGTATCCGAGACGCGTGCGGGTTGTTCGTAGGTTCAATTCCGACATAGCCACCGGTTGGATGGTATCCGTGCGTGCAACAACAAAACAAACTCACTGATACATACATGGGGCCCACCCCCAAACAAGTATGAATGTATTGATAGTATATATATGAAGGTTGTTGGATGTGTTTCCATCAATAGATAGCTCTTTAGCGGTTAATGACGTTTATTATTGTGTGCCATAGTTACAAACAAGATTGATTTGTGTCTTAAAACAATAAGGATTGATAAAATAAATCACCTAGCAATGCCAGTACAGATGTACTAGTAGGTGATGCAGAAACTTCTAACATTTGATACAGATGGAATATCCCAATGAAAGAGATATATTCTATAAATTTCAGTAGGTTTTTTCATTTTTCATTTCATTAAAAAAAATGCAAATCATCTTCAACAGGCCTTTAATAGTCCACTTCTGGACATGGCCCTCTCCTAGAAAGGGAGGTTTTATCCTACTATACCACGCTGGCCAGACGGTGGTATAGAGTTCATGTCAAATTTTCCTTCAAGTGCTGTTGTCAAATTTAAATTATTTACTTTTTGCAGAAAAACACTGTTACAATATGTTATAAACAGTGCATGTTTCAAGTGCTTCTCTGTAGGCATGCAAAATTTATACAAGTTGTGTTGAAAGTAAGATAAAAATATTTTAAAGAAATCAAAATTACAAAATGCTATGAAGTTATAAAATACAGATCAATTATTTATTTATTATTGAAGTCATTGATAAATATTTGTTTCAACTAGTACGAGTACTATGTTCTAAATTAAGTGTCAGTTGTAATAGAGATTTTTTTTATTACATTTTCTAGTTATTAAATGAAAATAAATTAAATATTTTGAAATTAAACAGAAAAAGTATGTCAATCGCGAGAAGTTAAATGAAATGTCTATCACTAAGGAAAAGCATCTACAGAAATAACATTGAAGTCAAAAGGATTCCTAACTACGTTTAAAACAAGTTAACGTAAGATCCTTGATATGCATAGGCTACTTTATTGTAAAATTTTGGAGACATAAAAGAGGCGCCGCTGGCTAAGTAGTGCCGTTTTTGCTGCGTAGGTTGCTCATTAGTCAGCGTTGATGAAAAGGGGATGGGTGGCCCTCCGTATTTCTTAATCCGTCACCACAGGATCGTATATAGGTATATATTTTACTATAAAATTTACTTGAAAGAAATATAATCACTCTGAACCACTGATCTAACGAACACAATACACGGTCAAACCCTCTGTTCATATTATAAGGTTCAAATCGTGAAACGCCTCTTAATACTTTCTGATTGAATCGATGGCAATATCGAAATCATGTGTTCAGTTGATTAATGGTGGTTTGACGCGATAATTACTTGTGGTCATGAAGGCGGCGACAACTCGTGACCTCGCCCAATTTGTTTTCTCTCACTTCTATTGGACATATTCTCCGAATTGATTGTTGCAGATGCGAAAAGAATATTTTCAGGAAATTCTGCAATTGCAGACACCGGTGCGAATCTCTTAACATATCTTAAGGTGCAACACGAACTAGCTAAGGCTAGGTGATAGGCACTTACGCAATAGAACTTTTCCATAATAATTTTCGCTTATCAACGTAAACGGGACTAAAAAAAATTATAGTCAGCAATAACATAAGCGTTTAACCACGCCGTTGTCTAGCACATCTGAAAAAGACATTTGCGAACCTATAGTTTAAAACCAATCCTGGGATGTTCAGAGCATTCTATGTAAAGACGCTTTTACAATATGATTTGTTCTCCTGATGCATGTGATTTGACCCTAGGAACTCAGTGTGCAAGTGACGTGGTTTATTAGTTTCACACCATAATCACTTCGAAAAAAACCACATCTTATTAAATGGACGCATTTTATTTGTAATCTTTTACGCCTACCCACTGATTACTCACAAAAATTATGAAGATTAATTATAAAAAATCCCTTAATATATCTGTCTAGTGGGAAAGCTCATTTAATATGGCAAGCATGGCTTTAACTATTTCACTAATTGTACTTTGTACAGCGCAGAGGCAAACACATCGAGTGCCTTTCATCCAGAACAAGTAACTTTTCCCGAAAGATCTGAATGGAATTATAAGAATATTTAACGAGAGTGACAGTCCCGAGTTGAAGCTAGAGATGCAGTCTAATAAAAAAAGTGATTTAGTGTAATTGTACATTAACACATTGACGTGACTATGGAAAGAGCTATTTGCTTTTTCGGCGTTTCTATAAGGGATCGCATGAGGAATGAGAGTGATCCGGCAGAGAAACCAAGGTCACCGACATTAGCCTACGGATCAGGCAAGTGAGTGGCAGTGGGCATGGCCATATCAGCCGCCGAACCCGAAAACCGTTGGGGAAAACGTGTTCTTGAGTGGAGACAGCGTCTCGGCAAACGTGGTAGACGCCTAAAGCCAGGTGGAGTGACGATTTGCGCGAGATGGCTGGCAGGAACTGGAGCGAGAAGCCAAAATCGATTTCTTCTTTTTTAAGTGGCGTGCATGGGAGAAGGCTATGTCCAGGCAGTGGACTTCTATAGGCTGATGATGAATGATGTTACATAACTACTTCAGAAAATCTCATCCTTTTTGCATTTATTCGACCGTTAAATTTATAGAGGCAAGGATTAGTCTGTATATAGGTGAGATTATCTTTAAACTCAGTTCTATGGGTTTCTTGTCACTCACTTTATTGCTTAGAATTTAGTTATAATGTAGCCGAATATTACATACATGCTTGTACGCTATTTTATACTCAAACTGCCAAAGAAATAGCTTTACTGCAAGAAAATATCTATTCTGGGGAAGTGTTGACAGCTGATTATGTCAGAAGAGTAGGTATGTCAATATTAACGACATATGGTCTTGTACGAGACGGGGAAGGATATACCATTTGGATGATGGGGTCGAGCAAGGTCAGAGGGTCGACAGCTGTTATATTGTAAGGAAGTAGCTTTAAACCAACAGTGCACGGATGGCGTAGTGATTTAGCGGTCATATAGCCGCTTCCTTTCTGCTCTGAATGTATGGGTCCGAAAACCCACATGGGACAACACATTGTGTGATTTTACAAATTGTGTTCTGAGTCTGGGTTGTTCCTTGTGTCCGTTACTGTATGTTGTAAAGTCCTCCGCGGCACAGAATGTATTGCAGTATACTTTAAAAACACGGCCTTTTCAAAAATATAATCAATTGTTGACCACATTCAAAGAATGTAAATATTGTAAGTTTAATTTAAGTAGCTTCTATGCACACAATATTGGCAACTAAGCAATAAAATTAGTATATTTCAAAAAAAAAAGCCTATGTTTAAACTGAAATTAAACTTAATGTCTATTCATTATTATTTTTAATTTTTATTCATGGTGAGAGTTTATACCAAGAAATGGAATATTCAACAATGTGGCTACTCATTACAAGTCACTAAGTCACAGACATTTAACATATATAATGCGTTTCGAACCCTGGCCAGGCTAATGCAGATCGTAATACCTCCTTAGAACACAGAGAGATTAATTAATGGCATTTCAAACTCTGTGGTGATAGCGGCGCATGGTTTTAAAAGGATTTAATATTGATTGAAACTTCTTGCGACCCGCTGGCTTCGAAAGGGTGCAAATGTGGTGTCAGTGGAGCTTATTATAACTAGTCTTACGATAATACTACAGAATATCTTCAATTATAGCTGGTTTCTTCAGAAGACAATACAAAATATGTTTACTTTAGAGGTTACTCTGGCAAGTGCTGCGCCTCTGGCACCGCAACGTAAAGTAAGGCCTGACGGACCGCTCTGCCCAAAACATCTAAAATCCCAGCATAATATCTTCTAAGATAATAAATTTGTGTTGATGAGTATATCCGTAAACGATAGTTTGATCGACATTAACTGAGCAACCCTACCTAATACATTTAAGAAAAAATTAATAAGGACTATTGTTTAAAATAAACTTCGTAAATAACCAAAAGCGTGGGTTGCTTTTCAAGGTATTATCATATATAACTTTACTTTAACCATATCGTCAGTATTTTTTTTTACAACAATTGAAATCTAGCACCTTTTTGCAAATAAAATGATTTTCTTTTTTTGAACTTACAGAAAATTATTTTCTCTTTTTTTTTAATAAAATTTAGTTTCATGTACTCTCAGTTGTTTTCAAAGCAAACTTCTTGGCAATTTTGATATTGGCTCAAATTATCCATCATTTTTTATAGGAAATTACTTATTTTTTCAAAATTAAATCTCTATCATTCTACATAAAAGCACAAAATATATAAGAAATAAACAGTATTAGTAGTAGTAGTAGTAGTAAGAAAATAATACTGAATTGGCTTCAAAAATAGCTTTGTAACACAATCCATTATTTATGGTAAAAAGATAAAAATGGTTACTGTGTTTATCCTTAAGAAAATAGAACATATACACCCGCGGACTTCTTTGTAGATTTTTTTACGATACACAATTCCGTAGTATATTATGTATCTGATACTGAAATGCAGATCTACTCAATAAACATGTCCGCCCTCTGAATAATTGCATTTGATTCGTCTTCAACCTTAGCAAATATGACCATATTTCCTCTTTTCCCTATTCTATTCTCACCCATTCCTCCTCTTACTATATATCTGCGTTAGCCACGATAGAAAACTCTCGTCACAAACAATCCTCTTTTCTGCCTATGCCGCACTCATACTGCCTCTTGTGTCCCCGTTCCTAATTTCCAATCCGTACTCCTCTGGAACGTCTCCTTTTTGGAAACCGGGATAGCACCCACCGCTTCTCATTCAAGATGAAAACCGAGCATGAATTCTGGACATCCTAGCAGATTCATTACTACCTTAAAGTTTTATATATGATCCAATATGTAGGTTTAGGGTATGTGTATGTATTTGGTACGTACGTATGTATGTATTTTATCTCATTGTTTCTGTCTAACTTCTCAATAATTTTCTTTTTACTTTACATATCAAGTCTAGTGCACCCTTTTTTTTTTTTCCCTTGCGGAAAATCCCCTCGTTATAACACCTATCGGTGGCATGTCGGACCGAACCGACTAAAACCGCACGCCGTCTCGTGGTATTAATAGCCGGGGAATCAGGTTATACCCAAAAAAAATCCCTGGTAGGGCCCCGACAGACCTCGGGCCATGTACCACAACAGGTAGAGAACCCCTCCCCCCCCCCCACCCGAATGTCTAGGCACCACCCTAAGGTAGACTGGGAAAAAATGCCTGTGGCATTAAGTCCACTATTGTACAAGCCATACTAGTGCACAAAGTAATAAAATAATTATTTGGATCTATCTCGTAAAAGGTTTAGCCAGCGTTTGCAAAATAGCCACGGAAACATCTTTTACACACATATACTAAACCGCCCTCTTGAAACACTCTTTCTATGGTGAACACCGCATTAAAATCTGTTGTGTAGTTTGAAGAACAAACAAAGCGACTTCATTTTAGACTAGCCAATATAAGGCGGACCTAATGGAACGGGAATTTTTCTTTCAGTCAAACCTTTGCGTGTTGCAGAGCCTATGTGTGTCAGTTGTATCTTTAGACTAGTGAGAATTAAGACTAAAATATCGTATTTTACAAAAAATGTATCTCTACAATATATGATAGTTTATACGTTATATTATAGCTGCTCAGTGATGCAGTGGTAGGCGTATGCGACTGCTGGATTGAGGTACGGGATAAATGTTTGTATGATCTGCGAATATTTGTTTCGTAGTGTGGGTATTGTCTAAGATATTTTGTATGTATTTACAAAACAAAAGGATGTAAGTATTTCTATCAGTCATCAAGTTTTCATAGTACAAGCTGGCTTAGTTTGAATTAGATGGCGTTGTGTCAGATTGTCCGAAATATTTTTTATTCTATTTTATAATCGTATACGTACATAAATAAATAATGAAGACAATCCTAGTGTTAATTCTGAAGTTCTTCAAACAAATCTCATTATATCATGGTTTAACGGTATTGCTGTGTGGTAGATCTTTATTATTGGCCTTTGTTTGCAAATTGTACGTAAAAGCTATCAGCGGCATCAAGGGCCGAAGACACAATTTGGTTTTGATTCTTGACACTTTCATTTCTTTTTATTATGCATTGATTAATTTGATTGATAACTATTCTGTATTTGATCTTTTATCATATGTGTACACCTATTATGGTGACCATGTTGTGATTCAAAAAAAATTGTTATTAAGACTTGTATTGTTGTACACACATGTTCTGCAAACTAAAATATATCGTTACTCTTTAAACACAAGTTAATTATTGGAAAAAAAACAAAAGCTGACTGCGGAAAATCGTTATACGTAATTCAAATAGATACTTTATTATATTTTTGTTTTTTTAGGCATTTGTCATTTAAAAGCCATTGATTATAACAAAGAAATATACATACATAATAACATGTACTCGAAATACAGAAACCTCCTGGGCGCAGTCGTATAATTAAGTCACAATTTTATTCAAATTTCAAGTTCCAAAATATCTTTATTCCAAAAAAATATATTTGAAATCGTCTTTTATGAAGACTCTTAAAGTATAGATCAACACCACACAGTAGCAACCTCTGTTTTGTCAAATATTTAGTGTTAAAATAATGTCAATGTATTGTATCCCTGTGACGAATCTACAATATTGCACACACACCACACCACCATACCAACAGACTGTAATAGTCCACTTCTGGACCTAGGTCTCCTTAGATAGGAGGTTTTTGCCTACTATACCACGCCGGCCAGACGTACAAATTAGACCAATATTGCACATCTTACTAAAATATTTATAATAAAACAAAACACACCAACCCCTTAAACATACGATACTCGTACAATTTACGTGTCATAATGTTATTTGATTATGAGTTACGGGAAATGAGTCTTAATTTGTTAAAGCAGACAGCACACAGACCTGAGCCAGCAATAAATACTCAGGCGCTAATTCACAATCATTAATTTGTAGTGCCACATTATAGTTTACGAGTCCAAAGTATCAATTTCAAACACTGTAAATATCTATCTAAATCAGTACAAATAATTTGAAAAGGAAACGTTAGGTAAAAGACGGAGAGAGTAAGGAAAAATACGATCCAGTTGCTATCGATATTAAAAACAAACCCATACATACACTCACGTCTTTTATCGCCGAGGGGGTAGACAGGGACGCATAAAAAGCCCACAATTTCTTAACTATAATTTTAGTTCTACTTGCGTATTAGGAGCAGGCTTAATGGATTTAAGCTTATTTCATTGATGTCAACCGGGCACATTATATCTCTAAACTAGCTGGAACTTGCAACTTCGATCGCGTGGAATTTGAAAAGCGTTGCCTTAGTGGTGTAGTAAAGTACGCGACTACAGTCCATGAGGCCTCGGGTTTGATTTTCGGACAGGGCAAAATTTTATAGGGTTTTTCTAAGAGGGAATAATAGCCTAAGTTACTACTGCTTATATAGACAGTTACCTGGTAGTAAAATATAAAATATCGGTCTAACCGTTTTGAAGATTACCCGAGCCAAGGAGACAGACAGTAAAATATATTTCACTGATTTTTAGGCATAGGTATTGTGTAAATAACCGCATATGGGCATAAAATAAACCTATTATTTTGACATTACAAACCGCTTATCAGCATTAGCAACCTTAGTTACTAAAGCTTAGTTTTTAGGTTCGCTAAACACAACCCACAGGCCCGTTCGTGATTTATTTACGCAATTTCTTACACTGCAGTTCATTTCATTGCACGCATTAGGGCATCTGATACAGTTCTATTATTTATTCAATGTTGTATAAGTATTGAGAGTGTATACACATGCACAATGCCGATGGTCCAGATAAGGCGCCAAGTGTCAAGGCGCGGTGGACAATTCTCAGCGGAGAGCAATTGTTTTGCTATTGAAATTACGTGTTGCTGTGCTACTGAATAATATTACTGTGGGAAGTTTATATAAAGATATACACTTATAAATAATAATACATAGCAAGTAGGGAACTAAATATGAATGCTTGATGCGTTGTTTTTCTTTTTGTCTGACATCGTTTTATGACATTTTTTTAAGACCTCTTTGTGTTTTTTTTTAGATCATTTGAGCATTTGAAACGGACATGACGTTTGAAAGACTTAATCTCTTCTTTTTTTAAACCCTGAACGTGTTCGAAAACTAGGTATTTTACATATCAATGAATAGTACAGCGAAAATGCATTCAATTTTGTCTAGTTGGCACTATGGTGAATTTAATCCATTACTGAGGCTGTATAGAGGTCACCGCACTCCACTTACTGGCAAAGTGCAACGGCAGCCATAGATTTAGCCTCTCCTTGGCAAGCACGAGTCGTTCTATATTTCAAAGCAATAACATAAAATCTTATATATAAAATTCTCGTGTCACAATGTTAGTTACCATACTCCTCCGAAACGGCTCGACCGATTTTATGAAATTTTGTGTGCACATCGGGTATGTCTGAGAATCGGCCAACATCTTTTTTTTTCATACATCTAAATGACAAGGGTGACCCACCCCTAATTTTTTTTTTCAATATTTCATAGAAATGTATATGGCAAGACAACGTTTGCCGGGTCAAATAGTGTTTTTATAGAAATCTGCAATTTTACACTTCTATAATTTTGTTAAACGGTGTCTGTTTTCAGAAATTCCTGGCGAAGTCTGGTTGGAAGGGTGGTTGACGTGACGCTGTCTGAGTTCATCCACTACGTGCGCGAGCACGAGAAGAATCTTAAACTCCAATTCTCTCATATTGACAAGAATAAAGATGGTAATTATTTATAACCTCTTGTTTGCATGGATTTCGGGACACCTATCCGTTAATATAACATAAACTATGTTTTTTATCGAAATTTATTTGTTGTGTTCTAAAGACTTACATAAGTTTTAATGTATTAGGTTGCAGTCCCTTTTTTTGGACCTAAACACGGCATAGTTTTTAATGTAAAATCATCATTCGATTATCATCATAAATTCTTTCTAGATATTGAAATTAATAATGCAGTTAAAATTATTTCGCACTATAATCTTGTTATCGATTAAAACAATGATAATTAAACTAATTTGTAAAAATTTTATTACTATTTTTATCTTTATTTATATTAGTTATATAAATCTTAATCTTTGTATATTATTCTTCTGTACGTGTGTTTGTAACCTAACTCCTAAACGGCTGAACCGATTTGGATAAAATTTTGTGTGTATATTTCAATGGGTTCCTGGATGGTTTAAAAACACAACTGGACCCGTTAGGTGACTCTGTTGTCGGTATGTCACCAAATTTGTAAGGACGATACGAAGTTCCCGGGTTCAGCTAGTTTTATATAACATTATACGTAGGCCAAAACCTCCTTTTTAACGAGAGGCCTATGTCCAGCAGTGGACCAATAAAGGCTGTTGATGGTGATGATGATATGTAAGCGGGTATGAACGCTACAGCGTAATAAATATAAAGCGAGGCAAGGCAATTCAAACGTACTTAACCTTTGACTTGCCTTCTATGTAGAACGTACCTTGTAAGACCTATTATGTGATCTTATTAATTTCCGTACATATAAATAACAAGCTTTTACGCATGGCTGCGTTCGCGTTAATGTCGATTTTATCAAATCAACTTTTCCTTGATAATAAATAAACCATAATTTGTCCTGGTCCAAATTTCATATAGATCCGATCTGACGTAACATACATCCATACAACTACCCCTAAAATCCCCTCGGATACCACCTATCGGTAGCATGTCGGACTCGAACCGACTAAAAACGCACGCCGTCTCGGGTACTAATAGCCGGGGAACCAGGTATACCCTAGAAAGGAAGTCCCTGGTGCCCCGACATACCGCGGGCCATCTACAACAACAGGTAGACGACCCCCCCCCCCTGTGTGGGCCATACATCTGGGCAAACTGTCGCCTTTATCATATTAATCTTAATATATATAAATCTCCTGTCACGATGTTTGTCCGCGATGGACTCCTAAACTACTTAACCGATTTTTAAATTAAATTATCACACCGTGAGCAGTCTGGTCCAACTTAAGAGATAGGATAGCTTAGATCTTTAATTTATAGTCGCAATTTTATTTTATTGCAATATATTGGTCTATAATTAATTGACAGTCACAATTATCTGTTAACTCCAAAAGATTCTAACAGATGTCGATACTTTTTCGACTGGATTGAGTAAGTAATCAATAGATGGCACTGCTATGGTAAACCGACATAATGTATATGGCAAAACAACGTTTGCGGGGTCAGCTAGTAGAATTATATGTCATGGAGGTCATGGAAAGTTTAAAATAAAATATAATAGTAATATTGTTATATCGCAGAAGTTCTAAAATCCGACAGTTCAGGGCCTGCAGCATTTGCAGCCGTCAATATTCATAACCCTAGTTCTATTTGTATTCAGATGCAAATTCTAAATATAACGCTGCGTATACATTTTACTGCAAGGACTATTTCAAATATTTGTGACAGACAAAGTGTCTTTATGTAACACAGAATATTCTTTCTCGAATTAGAATCACCGGACTGTAGACCATCACCCCAAGATCGTATTTGAAATGGCTCCCTTGGGCCTTGACCTTTGGCCTTGACCAATGCATGTTTGTCTTCGGAAACCTTTGTAACTGATCAAATTATACAGTCTGAAAAAATATTGTGTAATGAGGACGATCATTTGTCAGGTGTAATTTATACATAATATGTGTGTAATTAGAAATATATGTCTATCTAATACCTTTAAACGATCAATTTTTTGTACATATATGTATATATAATCTGAATCTCGGAAACGACTTAATTAATCTAGCTAGGTCTTATTTTTTGCAAATTTACCAAAAAAAAATACCGAGCTAAGCTCGCTCATCCAAGTACTGCATATAATAGATGGATAAACGGAAGAAGTAGATTAGAAGAAACAGTTTTGCGTATATCTTAATTATAGACGCTTTTTAATACTCTTAAATCTAAGTTTATAGTGATGTTCTTTGTATCACCAACGTACTAAGACACGACCTGCGAATCACTCGGTCTGCGGTTGCTATTCTAAGGTCGCGGGTTCGATTCCCGCTCAAGTCGAACATTTGTGTGCATGAACTTTTAATGTTTGATTTGGTCTGGGTGTTTCTATGTATAATATGTATGTATTTGCATAAAAAGTATATATGTATTTATATCAGTTATCTAGTACCCATAGCACAAGCTCTGCTTAGTTTGGGACTAGATGGCGTTGTGTGAATGTGGTAGAATATTATTATTATTATTAATTGTGTTCAATATCCCCAAATACAAGTAAAAATTACCTACTGTATAAGCCTAGGGGGCTTTTACCGGCCAATGAAGAGTTCCACCGTCTATCTCCTATCACTGCCATGATAAGCAACATACGATATTTTATAGTACCGTCTGATGTCGCCACTACTACTTAAAATAACTCAAAATTGTCATCGTACATGGCCAGCAAAGCTAATAGGTAAACGCGTGTGAAGAAACTAAAAACAAATTGTGTACAATTTCCATAACTGCAGTATAGAGTTACTGTCAAATCGAAAATACTATTTTATGTATTACAGTAGTGTTTAATTTACACAGGCATAACTAGGTTTTATTTCTTTGCGTTCAGACATACGCGTCCCAAGACAAAACAAATAAATTTAGATTTAGTTTGGCAAATATAGCTACTTCGAGTACACAAATAGATGGCAGTGTTAAAATATTATATTTTTAAATAGGGCAGGCAGCTGTCGGTGGATTTTAGAGAGAACATTGCCCTCACGCATTGTTTCTGTAAAAAAAAGTGTGAGGAGCACGACCATTTGTTGTGTCTGGTTGTAATTTATATATATGTGTATACATAAAATAGATGGATAAACGGCAGAAGTAGATTATAAGAAACAGTATTGCGTATATCTTGGGTATCATCAACAGCCTTTAATAGTCCACTACTGGACATAGGCCTCCATATAAAGGAGGTTTTGGCTACTTTACCATGCTGGCCAGACGGGTTGGTATAGGGTTTTTGTCAAGTTTTTCTTCTCTTTGCAGTGTACGACAATTTGAAATAACTCAAAATTGTCATCATACGTGGCTAATAAACGCGTGTGAAGAGAGTAAAGGAATATTGTGTACAATTTCCATAACTGCAGTATAGAATTACTGTTAATTCGAAAACACTATTTCATGCACTTCGAAAGCTATAATTATTTCAAGCTACTGATACATATTACATACAATAATGACGCCTGCGTACAGCAAGCGTTTAATTAACACCAGTAGTGAACATATGGCATAGGTTAGTTCTAATGACGTCGATTATGAGTCACCTTAATGTAATAGGTATCCAGCAAGGACATTGAATCCAATCCATTCTACTGTAATTAGATCAGGAAAAGCGTGAACTATTAACAGCCATTCATCATTATCATCAGCAGCCTTTAACAGTCCCCTGCTGGACACAAGCCTCTCCTTAAAAAGGAGGTTTTGGCCTACTATACCACGCAGGCCAGACGGGTTGGTATAGGGTTTGTGTCAAGTTTTCTTTCTCTCTGCAGTGCTGTTGTTCTGCGTAGTTTTCACCCTTAGTCAGCTCATACGACACCCACGGGATGAATAGGGGTGGTGACTCTCTGTATTCTTAATCCGTCACCACAAGGATTTACATCACACGATTCGAACAGCCATTACGTGTTATTATTATAACTAGCTGACCCGCGCAACTTCGTCTGCGTCTCTCAATAGTAATAAATTTTCTCCGTTTTTGCAACATTCTTCATTGGTGCTCCGCTCCTATTGGTCTTAGCGTGATGATATATAGCCTATAGTCTTCCTCGATAAATGGGCTATCTAACACTGAAAGAATGTTTTAAATCGGACCAGTAGTTCCTGAGATTACAGCTTTATAATATTAGTATAGATAAATAAATTACCACAGTTACTTAGAGACTTAAAAGGCAGAACGAAATAAGTATTAAGAATTTGAGACATGGATTATCGGCATGTGGGATGTGGATTCGGCATTAAATATGCCGTATCCGTATGACTACGGATGTGACCATCAGCCTATGATTTGATTGCTAAGAACCTTGACTTTCAGAGGCTCACGTTAGGCAGCAGAATTAAGGGCCCAAATGTAAATTTCAGTACTTGTCGACATAGTATGTAGTCTGTATGTACATATTTACAAAAAAAGTATATAAGTATTTTATTAGTCAATCTAGCTTTCATAGTACAAGCTCTGTTTATTTCGAAACTACATGGTGTTGTGTGTTAGATGTCCAAAAAATATAATGTAATTATAAATTGTAAGTCTAGGTACTTGTCCGAAGAAATGACGATTTAAGATGTATTCATAGAATTTTCTGGATTGCTAGAAAATTACCATTGAAAGTCTCTTCGGACACAATAAAAGCTTTTTGCAAAAAAAACATTTTTTTTAAACGCATCTCTCAGAGGAAGTACTTTTGAGAGAAATGTTTAAAAAACTTGGTTTTTAATGATTATTTCGGCAGTAGTATGAGTTGTGCCTTAATTTTCTCATAACATATTTCAGTTTTTTGAATTTCTAAATAGTTTAATAGATTTGCTAACGACAGTCTTGTAAATGAAATATGATTCAGTTTTAAAATAAAAACTTGTCAACTGTATAATAAAACAGTTCTCAGTCAACCCACAGCCAATACTAGTGTAAAAGGAATTCGAAAAATTCCACAATATTATATAATTCAACATCTCTTGGCATAAGAGATAAATAATTCTTAAACTTCCACTGCTAATATCGATGTTCTTCTTTTTCAGGAAAAGTTGATCTGGAGGAGCTTATTTCAGCTTTCGCCGACCTTGGTATCGCAATAGGCAGAACGAAGCCACTAATTTATTAAAAAGGTGGGATATTGCATCGTTTAAGAATTGCGAAAGTTTTAATCATTTTTATTTGCACTGCAATTTTAATATGTTTTTTTAAATTCTGACAGATTGCTCTAGCGAATTGTTATATATAAGATCACCCTACTAAACATCTCACGAAGCAGCTTTAAAACCAATAAAGACATAAATGTTTCAGAAAAGCTGTTTGGCCAATATTCTGGTGGTAAGTCGAGACCCACAAGTAGTCTGTGGCGTAGACTCGCTAAACATAATATGCTAATGTTAAAACATCGCCTTAAAAAAAAACAAGGATTTATAAAAAAAAACCATGTCATCTATCATTAGGAACATTCGAAATTTAAACAATCATTTCAAACAACGCTACTTATTTCTTTTGAATCAACATGATTTTGGCGCAATCACACTGCCTTTTATTGCAATATAATTTCTGTCCAAAAACTTTTGGTTATCAAAGCAGTGTACTTGAGATCTTTTTAAGCACGTTTCACGAACTAAGTTGCCTCTTGGAAGTGTAATTTATTGTCATGGAGATTCAATTTGGTGTCTTCCTAATTGCTAATTATCGTTAAACAGAAGAATCACATTGTATAAAGCTTGATATTTTCCTTTTTCATATTAATCGTAGAAACTAGTACTTGACTTGTTTTCTTCAACCGGTTATGTACTTTTACACGTCTTTAAGAGATATCACAAGGAGATAGGTTTTCTTTCTTTTTCTTTTTTACAAAAGACAACACCCGCACTAGGAAGAAATCCTGTGTCGCTGGGGACTTAACAAACATACATGAAACGGACACAAAGAACACCCAGACTCAGAGGGACAATTTGTGGATCACCCAAAATGTCGTCCCGCGATGGGATCGAATCCACTACACTCAGCGTAGTAAGAAGCGGCGTGGCGACCGCTTAAACCACTATGCCCTACGAATCTTATCAGATCTATCAGAATATTGATATCATTATGATTTTTAAATATAAAACTGGCCTTAGCATTATGCACTCCGTCTCGTTTTCATCTTCCCCTCTCTCAAGTTCAGTTCTTCTAAATCATATACCAATACCTCTACATCAGTTACTTTCATTGTCCTTTAAACGCTAAAATTAATTCAATTAAATCACTGGTTAGCGTTTAATATTTATTTATTTAAACCTTATGCACCTGTAGTAGGTATGACTCAATGCCCAAGTATTCTTAGCCAGTCAACCTTCGGTTGATGCAGAATAGACAAGAAGGGTGGGTGAAACCAATATTTATATTTTTATTATTACTTATCTACTCTCAAATACATATAAAAATACATTAGGTATATACAGGCATACAAAGCCTTTATTAACACAAGATGTTGAGCTATATGCAATTTGATTCTTTGTCTGAAACTCATGCGAACTACACGGATGGCGCAGTGGTTTAGGCGGCCACCTCGCCAGTTCCTACTGCCCTTAGTGTTGTGGGTTCGATCTCCACATAGGACAACACTTTGTGTAATCCACAAATTTTATTTCATGTATGTTTGTAAAGTCTCCAAAAACACAGGATATATCCGTAGTGCGGGAGTTGTCTTAAAAAAAAACTAAACCCAGACAAAGCATAGCGTGTACTGTAGGTTCTAGAACAGAGATTCACCTACGATTTGTTCCGTCGTTTGTTAGTTACGTTCCATTTTCAGTAAATATACACATTTAAATAACAATAACACACAAAATAAGACCGTTTTATACGGATATATTAGTTAGTAAATAGTCAATGTGCTTGAGGAAATGCCTGAGCCAAACATAATTATGGTGCGCTATTGGAAACTATAAAAATACAGATTTCGCAGAAGTTTCTAAAGAAACCTATTTATTTCCGAGTCTAATTCATTATATTCTCAAACTGGTGGTGTCGGAGGCTCCATCAAAATGGGGCACGTGCCTATACGATATAGTACCATGTTCAAAAAGTTAGGTTTTACTCATCACGTCCGAAAAAATTGTGTCTTTTCTTGGTCTAATCCATTGTAGCCTCAACGTTGGGTCTTATACAGAACTCAAAATTGGCTCTAAGAAAATACACACAGTTATGCATATACGCACAAAATTAAAATATATTCAATGCCTCTCTAATTCCTCTATGTATTAGACATGCTGTACTTTTGTACTGATAAATAAATTAGACTCTAATTTGGCTGTAGCATTAATATCATTATCACATCTATACGAATATTATAAAACTAAAGAGTGTTTGTTTAGTTGATAGTGCGTTCAACTAAACAAACACTCAGGAAAATATCAGTTTTTTTTCATTAATTATAAAACTCATTACAAATACCGGTCAGTTACGACAGACTCCTAAACTAGGTTAAAAACCTGTATCTTAGGAGTCGTGTAATTTCTAGAACGTCATAGATCTATTCACTATTTTACTACATTCACACAACGCCATCTAGTCCCAAACTAAGCAGAGCTTGTACTATGGCTACTAGACAACTGATATAAATACATAAATACTTTTTTTTTGTAAATACATACATATTATACATAGAAACACCCAGACCAAATCAAACATTAAATGTTCATGCACACAAATATTTGACTTGAGCGGGAATCGAAACCTTTGAATAACAGTCCGTTACACAAACCACTATGCCATCCGGTCGTCAAATGTATGTGCACAGTAACAGCTATGGAGAATATTGACAAACATCATGTGTTATGCCTATAGACAATTCTGAAAATGCAACGTTAAGCCTTTCTGTATTATCATATGACAACTTCTGCAAATAGCCCGCAAGTATATACTCCAGATTGTATTGCGTTAAGGAGTAAATGCTAAGGATACAATTTATTTTGTTAAACCTGTAAAACATACAATAAATAAATTATATAATTATTAGAGAACTACCTATATCCATCTGTTAGATAAGTCAGGTGCTACTCGGGCGGAAATCCCCTCGGATACCACCTGTCGGTGGCATGTCGGAAAATCATCACGTGGTATTCCCAGGCGGTCACCCATCCAAGTACTAACCACGCCCGATGTTGCTAAACTTCGGTGATCAGACGAGAACCGGTGTATTCAACATGGTATGGACGTTGGCAAAAAAAAAAAAGAGAAGGTGCTACTCGGGCGTTTTTTGTGCTTAAACAATCGTCAGAGAGACCACTTCTACGTTGTTCGTAAGTCAAAGGTGCAACTAGACACTGACATCTAGAGCTTTGAATTGCCTAGAATAAAATGCCTTCTATTTTTCCAGACAATAATAGTCCCGGTACTTTTTGCAGAGAATAACTTCTTCTCGGATTGACTGCACTTGACTGCACGGATGGCGTAGTGGTTTAAGCGGTCGCCACGCCGAGTGTTGTGGGTTCAAACCCCACATGGGACGACACTTTGTGTGATCCACAAATAGTTGTTCTGAGTCTGGGTGTTCTTTGTGTCCGTTTCATGTATGCTTGTAAAGTCCCCCGCGACACAGGATTTATTCCTAATGCGGGAGTTGTGAAAAAAAAAACAAAACAAAGGATAGGAGTGTACCATTTTAGTCTTTATTATTAATTTCCAACGCGTCATGAACTTAAATTTCCCCTCACTCAATTGTAAGAATATAAAGACTATAAAGACACATATAGGTATTGTTGTTATGCTTATGTCTTGGCGAGAAGAGTTCGGTTAGTCTTTCTCGTTTATGGCAATTCATTAAAAACCTTTCGACTGTAATCACCTTCGCAATTATCTAAGCTAATTAAATTTCTGTTAGTTAAACACAAGCTTAGTACGCGACATATTCACCGTGAGATATTAGCACTGCGCCATTATTGTCATCAGTCATGGGATTTTTACTCCACTCGTCCCTTCCATGCCTTCACTTGTCCCTTTAAGAAGGTCTGTATTTGTATTATAATTATTTACCAGTTTAATTTCAAGCAATTTTCGTGGCCGATATTTTATTATAGGTTTACTATGATAAATTAAATTCCATAAGTGGTACTCAAAGTCAGTTAATGTTATACTCACGTGTGGGTATTGTGGAAGACTTGCTATAGATAAATCGGTTCATTGAGGACGAGAACGAGAAATAGGAGAGGTGCTAGTGGTGGGCGCTCGAAGTAAACGATCCCCGTTCTCGTCCTACCTCCGCTCCCCCTTTTTTTTTCCGTGCGGATCCCCTCGGATACCACCTATCGGTGGCATCTCGGACACGAACCGACTAAAACCGCACGCCGTCTCGGGTACTAATAGCCGGGGAACCAGGTATACCCTAGAAGGGAAGTCCCTGGTGCCCCGACATACCTCGGGCCATCTACAGACGAGTAGACGACCCCCCGTCCGCTCCCCCTCAGGCGAAGACTTAATGAATCTGTTTAGCAAAAGATACTTAAGAAATTTTTAAAAGACAAACGTCGCTTATATGCAAATGTCTAGCTTCAACTGATCATGTATTTCAATTTAATAGGCGTAAAGTTTGTAAAGATTTTCTGTGCTATTCTTACTTTGCTTATAGTTTTTTACAACAGTAACCTGTAATTCAAAGTTAGCTATTGGGCTACATAACATTTTAAAACAAAAAGGAACCCCTTCGAATCGAGGTGGAAAGTCCCTTCGGATCTCCTGCTCCTCGGGGTCTCAGGAGCCAGGAGTATGTGGTGATTCCACTAAAAAACGACGGCCGGCCTCAGGTGTCCTACTCTGGGAGGACCCGGATCATGTTATTTCAGGTCCTATTAACCTTTACTTAAAAGTTGAAATAATTGATAGTATTACCATAAGTAACATTGGTTTTCCATATGCCATTTCCAATGTAAGCAGGTCTATGTACCTATATGTGAAATAAAACACAGATTTATAAACGACGACTTTATTATTTGATGGAGGGACCTTTGACAAAGCAGAGATCAAGTCCTGAATATTTTGCAATTTTGAAAATATAAGTTTGAATGTACAGAGATAAAAAACGCCTGCATTCAATATCAATCAAAATGATATGTAAATTTTCACAACATTAGCTTGAGTGCA